CCCAAGGTTAGTTCATACATCTCACCTCCATGCCCATGGGCAACATGGTCAAATCCTGGGGATATGGACTCTGGCCTGCAGGGTTTTCCCTGGGTCCCTGAAGATCAATCCTTGACTGTGCCGGAGAGAAGCATTCAGGGCCCATGTTGCCTATGAGGTGCCCATGCAGGTTGCTCTCCCTCTGCTTTGGGGTGTGCCCTGCTCTGATGCAGCAGCAGGCAAGCACCACCAGGATGGCTTGTGAGTGCGAGTGGGGTGCTCACGGTCTGAGCACCCTTAGTCTGCTGCAGGTCTTCAGGAAGAAAGGTTTGAGCCCCACTTTCTGTGGAAGCCTCAGTGTGGTGAGTGTACCAACAGGGGAGGCAGTTGTTCCTGAGAGCCCTGGATCAATCCTCTCTCTCAGAAGCCATGGGCAGGGAAGGCAGAGTCTGGAGGGTGGAAGGCTAACATTATGGTAGTCTCTATTCCTCTCTCCAGAGGCAGCCTGCCCAGAATATCAGGCCCTGGGGTCACACAGATCCTCCATGGCTGCTGGTCTCTGTGGCTCCTGCAGTCTAGGCCAGAGGTTGTGTGGGGCTGAGCGAGATGAAAACTGAGGGGCTGAATCTCTCTGAGAGGACAGAGGCACATGGTGGGTGGAGAATTTGGCACCTGACATCTAAACTTGAGTCTGTAGTGATGGGAACTGACCCTGGGGTGCTTCGTTTGCCATACATGGATTCAGGTGGGAAGCACGTGTGTGACAGCCTCCTCCAGACATGGCCCTGTGGATGCTGTCTCCCTCTGACTGCTGTCCACCTAGTGTCTCTTCTTCAAATCTTCCTCAAGCACGTACACTGTCATAAGCCTTCTGCCTTGCCTCTGAAAATTCTCCCTGCCCTGTGAGAAAACAGTCCCAGCCCTCAAAACGTTCTTATGACTTGTCAGTCCGTAATGCTTCGGGCTTCTGTCCAATACTAATGGTACCTTCCTCCTTCTAGGTTTTTAATTTTATTTATTTATTTATTTATTAGAGACAGAGTCTCACTTTATCACCCTCGGTAGAGTGCCATGGTGTCACAGCTGACACTCAGCCTCCCGAGTAGCTGGGACTAAAGGCACCTGCCACAATGCCCAGGTATTTTTTTGATGCAGTTTCACCGGGGCTGGGTTTGAACCCATCATCCTCAGTATGTGGGGACGATGCCCCACCCACCGAGCCACAGGTGCCGCCCCCTCCTTCTAGGTTTTAAAAGTTCCTGAGGGGTAGAGGGTTGGCTCAAGTCTGTTAAAAGCCAGGAACTGCATAGATGTTACAATACCAACGAGGGTTGACGGGTTATGTAAAAGTATTGGTTTTAAGAGTTCCTTTGTCCATATCCTGATTGTATCATTGATTAGACAGGTGACCTTGAGTAAGTTCAGTTTCCTTATTTGCAAAATGAGGATAACATCATTACTTTTGTTGGGAAAAGTAAGTAAGAAAATATATGTGAAATCTTCAGAATAGTGCCTAGTATTAGCTATCATTATTGTTATTGCTGTGATGATGCCGAGAAATCGACTTCATAGGAAAGCAGGCAAGTTTTATGAAATATTAATAAAATGAGTATCTTAAATGACTTGCGGCTATCAGTTACCTTTCCCAATTTCCTGATGCTACGTTCCTTACCTTCCATTTCCTCTGGGATCCACGGCTTACCACATAGTTATTCCCATTTTTAATGTATAGCTTGTTTAAACATCTTACTCATAGCAGTTCATTCAGTCTTGCCTGTGTAAAAGTGAAACTTTATAACAAAACTCAACCTAGTTTATAGTGGGAAAAATTATCTATGGCCTGAAATTGGAGAAAAGCAATTACTGGGTGCAGTGATGCCGTTGCTTGGTGACATCAGTCTTGGCGTTTTCTAGTGATGCTCTGGGGATTACCTGATTCTGTAGGCATGCGTGCCATTGACTATTCTATCAACAAAGTTATCTTAGAACTCTGTAGGGATGGATGGTAACTTGTAAATAACTGATGATAATACAAATGATTCTTGTTGCTAACAATGCAAATGAATTTGGGCCAGTAGCAATACGACTTTGCTCCATAGAAAAGATAAACCAAGCATTAAAGTTTATCACCTCAAAAGATATTAATCTGTTTTGCATCATCAGCAAATTCATTTCAGCATTTCTGATTTTCATATCACAAAATTCGTTCTTCAAATTCTCCTTTGAACTAATCATCTTATCGTTCCTTTATTAGTAAGTTGAATAAATCCTTTGATAAGTGTTTATTTTATATGTGTTGAGAATTTTTAATTATTTGAATATAATACTTCAGTCATTTCCACTGCTGGGGGAAACTTGTCAATTATAAGCTGATTGTTGTTCTTCAGTGTGGTTTTAGGTTTGTTTGTCAATATAGTAGATTTGGGATTTAAATGCAGGGAATGAGCTCAGTTTCTTCATATTTGTTTACCTTATCCCTGATCTAATTCCTTGTATAGCCTGAAGTTCTATAATGAAATTCCGATTCTATTCTCTTCTTCTTCTTCTTCTTCTTCTTCTTTTTTTTTTTTTTTGCAGTTTTTGCCTTGACTTCTTACATTCTCCACAAAGAACTCATACTTCTCTGAGTAAGAGGAATTAGGTTACAGTGCCAAATTCTACACTCTGTTTTCTACACGTATGTAGATGAGGGGTCAGCAAACTCTGGCCCTGGCCGGATGCTGCCCACCTTGTTTTGTGAGTGAGTCCTGCAGACTCGGCCCACACTCACTCACCTCTGTGTTTTCTGTGGCTGCTTTCCACACTGCAGTGCTGCAGTTGCATAGTTTTAACATGGACTGAGTGGCTCTTCAAGTCTGAAGTCTTTACTATCTGGCTTCTACAGACAGAGCTTGCAGACCTCTTTTATTAGTGTCCAGGGTTGATGTAACACAGTACCACAAACTAGATAGTTTAAATAATAGAAATGCGCCCTCTCGTCCTTCCAGAATCTAGGAGTCCAAGATGGAAGGTGGCTCAGTGCTGGTGAGGTGAACGAGAATATTCCCTGCCTTCTCCAGCTTCGGGGTTTCCTGGCCACTGCTGCATTCCTAGGTTTATAGATGCATCACCCAGACATCTGCCTTCATCTGCACAGGATTTTCTTCCTGTGTCTTTTCACATAATCATGCCTGTGTTCAAAGTGCTCCTTTTTATAAGGACATCAGTTACGCAGGATTAGGGCCATCCTGATGACCTCATCTTAGCTTTGTCTGTGAAGGTCCGATTTCCAGATAAGGTCACCTTCTGAGGTACTAAGTTAGGACAGCAGCATACTAGGAATCGTTTTCCAGGGACACATAACTTCCCTGTTTTTGGTGGTTCAGTGGCCTCTGGTCTTTGGGGCATACAAGGTTTTATTTTTCCTTTCATTGGCCCTCACATTATAGTATCTGACAAAAAACAGACTGAAAAATACAATTAGCAACCAATGAAGCACTGGTATCTTTCAAATCTCATTTCCAAGTTCCTCATCATCTTTATAAAAAAAAAATCTCATTCTGACCACAATTTAATGAAACTATCCAATAGAGTTACTTGAAAATACCAGAGAGGAAGTAATGACAATTTCTTACAAATACCAGGTATTCTAATCCAACTTAAAAGGTATACATTGTATAATCCCTGATTAAGAAGAGAACAGAAGGGCAGCTCCTGTGGCTCGAAGGAGTGAGGCACGGGCTTCATATGCCGGAAGTGGCAGGTTCAAACCCAGCCCTGGCCAAAAACTGCAAAAAAATACAAACAAACAAAAAAAAAAACCCAGAGAGACAAGAGAATAGAATCGGAATTTCATTACAGAACTTCAGGCTATACAAGGAATTAGATCAGGGATAAGATAAACAAATATGAAGAAACTGAGCTCAGAGAAGTAATTTAATGTGACTCAACTTACTGATAAGTCAGCCAACAACTAAAATCTGTTTTCATTTCAGCTTTGTCCCACTATACTACATTTCAGGTAAATTAATTCAGAAATTAATTGCTAGTCAATTCTAGACTCAAGGCAATTAGATATAATTTATCTAATATCTTTATCATTTCATTGTTAAGCTTTTTTTTTTTCTTGCAGTTTTTGGCCAGGGCTGGGTTTGAACCCGCCATCTCCGGTATATAGGGCCAACACCCTACTCCTTTGAGCCACGGGTGCCGCCCTCTTTGTTAAGCTTTTTAAAAATGTTACAAAATGGGTAACTCCTGTTCAGAAGCATAATAAAACCAATACTAACTAGTGAATATGTTACAAACTAAAGCATTAAACTTACCTTTCTTATTTACCACATCCTGGTTTAAATACACATACATAGGGACTGAATAAAATTATTCATTGATTTTGACTAAAAATAGGGTTTCTGCCATATTAAAATATATATATATGCTACCTCTGTCAACCTTTACTCTGAGTTGTTTTGGAATTGTTTGGGTACAACTCTAGAGAGCAGTGACAGTGACTCTGTGAGAAGTCACTGAGTGTGTCCACTTGTGGAGGACATTTTAGCAATTTATAGACCTCATCTTTTGTCAGCCACATTTATCACAAGGATATTTTCTAAAATTAATTTTTAAATTTAAAAATATCTACTTACTTGTAAAATACGTACCTGTTTGCTAAGACTTGAAATGAGAAATTGTTCCTGAACCTTTCTCTGGCCTGAAACGTTCTTCTGATTTAATATCTAGTTTCAAACCTCCTTCTAGTTAACCTTATTTCTCATCTAAGTTTATACCTGATGACCTTTTGGCACTTTTTGCCAGGGAGTTTTATGTAAACTTTGATTACTCCATATCCTTCATGGTCACACGGATACAACTCTGCCACATTTTGAAGGCCTGCGGCTTTGGTCTTCCGCTTTAAAACAAGCGCAAGAAATAAACGCGTGGTGCCACGTGTAGGCCCCAAGGTTAACTGATATTAGCTATTAACTAAAGGGGTTAACTGTTTTCTCTAGAAATTAGATATTTTTCCCGTGTGTACTTCACAGGCTGCTCAAGAAAAGGAAGAACTTCAAAGGGAAGGTGACAGTTTGGATGCGAAGATCAACAAAGCTGAGAAGGAAATCTATGCTCTAGAAAACACCCTGCAGGTGCTCAACAGCTGCAACAAGCATTACAAGCAATCCTTTAAAAAAGTGACTCCATCTAGTATGTAGGAGTGTTTATATTTTTTAAAATAAATATCTACAGTGAAAATTATATAGTTGGAAGGACACTGTGGGACATGGAGAATAAAGTGTGCACCAGGTCTGAATGGGTTAAATAAAACTGGTCACCCTTCCTCTCCCCACACCTGGTTTGTAAGTGGCTTGCTGAAGGGTTATTTCTGTTATTAATAATAATCCTAATGGTATGTGGCGTAACGCCTCTCTGGGGAATTAATTTCCAATCAGAAAAAAACTATAGCACATTGCTGCTCTATGTTGACCAAACACGAAAGGGCTACCAGATGCCTCTACTGTTTTTCTACAAGTAGATAAAAGAAATTTAATCTTTCATAACAAAAAATACTGATGTTTAATTTATGTTATTGATTTTTAAGTAGTATGGTGAAAATTTAGTTTCTCTAAATTCTAGGTGGGGAGTATGAGCTAAAAATTCAGCTAGAAGAACAAAAAAGGGCTGCTGCTGAAAAGTACAGATACAAACAACGACTCATCAGAGAACTGCAAGAAGATATCCAGGTAACTCTACAGGCTGTTCAGCAATAAGTCCTAGATGAAGGTCTGCTGTCATTTTTATTACTTCTAGCATTCTCTTGATCTTGCACACATAAAGAGGACAATTAGTGCCTCTTCTGGGGAAGTAGATTGGAGAGAACAGTCTCATTTAAAGGAGAGAAAAAGAAGTGATCAAAGTATTAATTCATTGAAATCCCAGTACTAAGCACTGAAAAGTACTTGTTGTTAGTTGATAGAATTATGCTTTATCCATTATTATGGATAAAATTATGAATTTTATCCATAGTGAATTATGCTTTACCCATTATTTAGAGACATTTTATTTAATTCCTTCAAGATCATATTGATTGCATCTTTAAAAAGTGTGAAAGATGGAAATAATCCAGTGGGAGGTATTCACTAAGGCAGATCATGGAGACAACAGGCTTGGGAAGCAGGCCCTGTTTGGTTTTCACTAGTAAAGCTGAAAAGAAAAGATGCATGAATTGTATGTTTTAAAAATTGTATAATTTCAATCATCATTATTTGTATTATTTTTCCCCCAAGTGCCATAAAATACTTTCCAGTGGAATTATATACAAAATTTAATACATAAGGACAGTCATGCATTGCTTAACAACAGGAATATGATATGAGAAATGTGTCCTTAGGCAATTTTGTCAGTGAGCTAATGACATAAAGGGCATTCACCCAAATCCAGATGGGATAGCAGGGACTAGGATAGCCTGTCACACCTACACCACACACCTGTACAGCATGTCACTGTACTGGATACCACAGGCAACTGTGGTGCACAATGGTGTGTACCTAAACATACCTAAACACAGAAAAGGTACAGTGAAGATATGGTCCACATA